CTGTCTCACTCATATGTGGAACAAAAACAGTCAAAAACTCACAGAAACAGAAAGTAGGACAGCAGTTGCCAGGGACTAGGGTGAGAGAGAGATTGGTCAAAGGGCACGAACTTTCTGCTAATGAGATGAGTAAGTTCGAGGATCTAATGTACAGCATGGTGGCTACTGTTATTAATACTGTATTGTTTACTTGAAATTGGTAAAAGAATAGATTTTAAGTGTCTTCACCACACTCATGCACACAACAGGCACACACATAAATGGTTAACTATGGGTGTTATATGTTTATGGTTGTTAATTAACTTGACTATGGTAATCGGGACAGGATGTACCTGTACATAAAATCATTACATTGTATACCATGAATATATACAGTTTGTGTCAATTTTTTAAAGTGGGGGAAAGAAAGCCAATGAATCTTCTAACAAAAGTATAAGGTAATTTCTCCAAGATCACAAGCAGAACTTGAATAAGAAACAAAGTCTCTTAATTGCTGGCAGGTGCTTGTTATACTACAAAAAATGCTAAAGCCTACATGTTTTTCCTGGAATCAGAAGGAACTGGGATCAAGTCCTTGTTCTGCCACCAAAAAGAATGATTTTCAGTGGCTCCTTGCTGGCAATACAGGAATGATGTTAATAAAGCGGCCCACTTAACTCTCAGGGTGGTCACTAAAATTAAAGGAAAAAATATGTGTGGAATCCTAAAACTACTAAATAACTGTGTGTGAGGGGTGTTTTTGTTTTTGTTCTGTTGTTTTTTGAGACAGCGTCTCACTCTGTCACCCAGGCTAGACTGCAGTGGCAGCGATCAAGGCTCAATGAAGCCCCGACCTCCTAAGCTCTAGCAATCCTCCCACTCCAGCCTCCCAAGCAGCTAGGACTACAGGAGTATACCGCCTCGCTCGGCTAATTTTTCTACTTTTTATAGAGACAGGATTTTGCCAAGTTGCCAAGGCTGGTCTCAAAATCCTGGGCTCAAATGATCCCCCTACCTCAGCCTCCCAAAGTGCTGGGATTACAGGCGTAAGCCACCACACCCAGCCTAAATAAATGTTAATAGTAGCAATAATGACTTAATTTTTTTTAGCTGTATCAAAATACTGTAATAAGGCCGGGCGCGGTGGCTCAAGCCTGTAATCCCAGCACAATATAGGGACACAACAGAAAACACACCAGAGTCTAGGAGATGGGAGCATCCCATCCTGGCCTAACCGGTGAAACCCCCGTCATCTACTAAAATCAAAAAATTCAGCCGGCCCGCGACAGGAGATCGGCGACGACCTCAGCTACCTCCCAGCTACTCCCGGGAGCCATGAGGCAGACGACGAATGGACGTGAACCCAGGACGCGGAGCTTGCAGTGAGCTGAGATCACGCCACTAGCTACTCAGCCTGGGCGACCAGAGCGAGACTCCGCTCAAAAAAAAAACTGATTCTACTACTGAGTTCTCCCTCGATCTGCTAGGATCTTTCAATGTTTGAAAACGGCCACCCAATTGAACTCAGCAGCTACAAGATTCTTATTCTTATACGAAACCCTTCCCCCATCTTCTAAGCCTCAAACATGTTTCATCTCTCTTAATTCTTCATTTTTCTAACATTTATCAGGAGGAGGAGACATTTTGCTCATTTAGATTATCTATGTTGCTGGCACTTTTTAACTTGCTATCTTTCTAACTGAAACTAAAGCACGCTCGAGAAAACCAGGGATCACACCTTCTGCTCAGGTAAGTTTTCAATCACTCCCTAGGCAGCCTGAGGGAGCAGACAGAAAGAGTATTCTGTTCAGTACCAGAGTCAGATGGGAGGAGAGAAGCACTTACAGTAAGAAGGAAAACAGTGACTCGATCTATCTGAATAAATTCTAATAAAGTACAATTCACATTTCTTTTCAAAATACGAAGATTAAAATAATCTTATATTAACTTACAGATTCCAAACCTCTGTGAACTTACAAAATCTAAACTAAGACTAAATAATCTAATAAATATTTCATACAGCCATGAGACAGTTTATCAAATCTAGAGAAAGTCTCCATTTAAAAAGTTCTGTGAGAATTATAACAGCTCACAAACTATCAGGAATGATACATGATTTGACTGTCTGTAACTTTCACCGACTGTAACTGTTTCACTCTACAGGATTTTACACTCTACCCAAGGCATTCACTTTATTAGGAGGCAATTGCTTCCTCTTTGAAAAGTAAGTTCCGCCAAGAGTGGTGGCTACGCCTATAATCCCAGCGTTTTGGGAGGCCAAGGCGGGTGGATCACATGAGGTCAGGAGTTGGGACCAGCCTGCGCCAACATGGTGAACACACATCTCTACTAAAACACAAAAAATTAGCTGGGTGCGGTGGTGCATGCCTGCAATCCCAGCTACTCGGGAGGCTGAGGCAGGAGAATCGCTTGAACCTGGGGACGGAGGCTGCAGTGCAGCCAAGGTAGTGCCACTGTACTCCCACCTGGCAACAAGAGTGAAACTCTGTCTCAAAAATAAGTTCCTTCTATTCAGCCACTTCACTCAACTGGCATTTGGGCTTTCTGATCAGCCCTTCTTTATGTATTTTACTCCTTTCACATTCTTATTTTTATGTTTTCTAAATACACCCAGGGATATAGATCCAAATTCATTCTAGGTTATTTCCTGAAAGTCAGGCCAACTGGCTAGAGATGCATTATTCTAAGTGATAACTTTTCACTTGTGCCACAGAGATAAATGCTAGTAAGATAAGCCATGAGGAAGTAATTATAAATATCTTTCTTGGAGGTTGGTGATGGCTAAATCTGCAGCCAGAAAAATTCAACAGAAACTTGATTATACAGGGCACATGCCCTCAGGACCTCCTGAGGCTATGTCACAGGAAAAAAAAAAAGAGAAAGGAAGAAAGAAAAAAAATATATATATGTTTTTTTAAAAAAAGAAACTTGATTATCCTATTGTTGAAAACTCTTGGTTCCACTTTATCTGATCCCCAAATATCTTTCTTTGATTTTCTGAAGAGTTTTATTTATTCCTTAGGAAACATGGCACAGCCTCCATCACTGCAGTCACTTTCTTCTTTGATTTCTACCATTTTATATATGATCTTCACTGGACAAAGAACAAGTTCATTGCACTAATAAGAATGTTACTTTCTTACCTTACACTAAAGAAACTATAAAGAATACATACAGCCATTTCCCTGTTACATAAAAGTAGACTGCAGAATATATACTTTACTATCCTTCAGGACCTTCTACAAAGGAGAATATATTGTTACATACTGTTTTTAAAAATTATAAAACTGACAACCTCTTGCACTCTCAGAACACACAGAATATAAAAGCATAAACTTTTATATTTTTTCAGACAAAACCATCAATTAAAAAATTCACTATCTCTTTTAGCAACGTTCTTTGTGTAAAAACTAGCAACTAATTTTTAAACAGTAGCTAAGAATTTTTAGAAAATAAACAGTATAAAACTTACAAAAATTGAATATGGAAGGGTTATAGTATAAAAAAGGATATTTTAAAAGAAGGACAGAAATCCTCTGTTCTAATCCCAGCCTAAAGACAGCTAGATATGGAAGCTAAGATCCGTCACTGAATGTCTATGTGGCCCTCAGTTCCTTCCTTCATGTAACGTGAGCTTTCAATACGGCACACCTTTAAAATCTAAATTCTGAGATTCTAAGAAAAGACGGATTTGAGATAAAGCCCATTTTCTATTTCAACTGCTACAAGCATAGAAAGAAACTACCTAGCTCTTTTATGTTTACTAAGTAGTAAAAATGTAGTAACCAATTCAACTGTGACATGATTGCAAAAGGAGATTAACCTGATGAACAAACATTTCAACTGGTACCAAAAGAATTTTCATACTTGTGTAAAGGTGGACAATACCAACATGCCCAAAGAGTTTGATGGAATGATGTAAACTTTCTGTAGTTCCAAAACACCGGGTGATAGGTTACCTTTTGGAGCTTTCAGACTGGAGGATATACAAAGAGTTAATCAAACTAGCATATTGTTTTCACAGAGATTTTTCTAAAAAGGATTTAGAGACTTTTATAGCCAGAAACAATTAGGGAATACTTGTTTCACTATTTCCTTTAAACCAGAAGACGGCTGTATATTTAAAATAAAATTGCAATATGAAAGTCTGCTAAAAGCACTTTTTTTGTTGTTTGTGCATTTTGTTTGTCACCCAATGTCACACTAACAATTCTGCATCTCATTCCAAAGCACATTATACTTAGAGATAAAATGAAAAAGACCATTTTTTGTTTCCCCAAGGGGAAAGTACTTCTGTTAAAAGCATCTTTTTATGAGACGATTCTTTCTGAATTACCAATAATGCAAACCAAAGAATTAGATACTGTACTCTAAAATTTAATATTTGTTCAATTCTTATTCATATCCTATAGTCATCCCATGTGTACAAGGGAAAAGTATGATAAATGCTTAAACGTACTTAAGAACCTGAAAGATTGAACATTTTTGTCCTTCAATCAGCAGGCTGTCAGGTCATGAGTACTCATTTTACAATAAAAGTTTTCCTGCCTTTCCTATTATTCTAACTAAGCTCAGTTAAAAACAGATTGGCCCACAAAGAAAATGGCCACACTTTTTGTTTTCATGAACCTGATTGTATATACAACTTTATTTTCATTAAAGGTAGACAATCTGATTTCAAACACTATATATAAAATCAAGAACTAAAGAGTTTTTTTAAGAACTTAAAAATAATGAACTGCTTAGAACTACATTCGTTAAGTTTGAATATCAGGATCAGAGATGAAATAAGAAATGAAATTAATGAAATTCGGATGAAAGAAATCCATCCTGTTTTGTTTTTTTAAATGCTTACACATAATACTTCATGGCGACTTAAAACAATTCCATTTTCTCATAATACTCAGGAATAAGTATGCTTTTCCAAAGAATCCAATTAGATGTGCGTGCAAACTGTCATACTGGGAACCATTACAAACCAGTAAAAAGCACAATCTAACCTTGAACATTTTTTTCCTTCTGATGTCCAACTAGCAACGGCCAGAAGTAGTGAGTTCTGATAGGAAAACCTTCCTCCTTCACAGCCTTCATTAGGGCTTTTGCCAAATCTGAAAGAGATATCATAAAATATCACAAAGCTACCTCAGCAAAACTTCCTTACGTTGGCTTCAACTTTAAGAATGTAGTACCAGTTTTTTTGGCAAGTAAAGCACAATGGAGGGTGAACTGCAGAGGAAAGGAGTGCATCTGGATTTCCTTCAACTTCTTACAGTAGTCTGTTAGCTTCTCCACAGGCTGTGGGAAAAAAGTCACCACATTAGCTGGATTGGCAAACATCTTACCGTTTGAACTGCTGCAAATATTCTATCACTTCTGAGATGAGCAGTTTAAATCCCGCATCCTCTTTCTACCCAAAAATCTTGCAACACAAGAACAAGGTTGTTATAATGTTCACAACTAGTCTAATCTCATAAATATTCCTATATTTTAAAGAATCTTATTTCACTGCCAATTATATTGTCTACAAAGTAAAAGTGGACAGAATACCGTATTCATAGTCACACAGTGTCGTAAAAAGAAACTGCCAAAGTCACTTATGCCATCTTCCTTTGATACAGGGCATGATAGTAAAATTTGCAAAGCTACATCTTCCAATTTTTCAGTGACTAAAAGTAAAACGAGGTTCATTGCATCTGGGAAGAAAACAAAGACATCTTTTGTTAGTAAACTGAACAATATTTTTACATTGCAACCAATGTTCCGATACTAAAGACAAAATAAGAATTGCAAACATCAATAGCATATATCTGCCTAAATAACAATAAAACACTTGCAAATCAAATCATCCCCATGTATTCATTAACTCATGTTTTTGGGCTTATTTAACTGACTTTAAGAGTTCTATGTTCAACTCCCACAATGCCCATTGTTAGAAAATGTACTTTCCATCATATAAGAACAGCAATTCAGATTTTTATAAAAATCATGTAAATAGATTTTTTTAAAACTACCTGGAATATATCTTCTTTCACATGTAACTTTTTCCAAAATTTCTGAGACATACTGAGGATACCCAGCTTTACTGAAGCTAAAAATAATTTGGAATAAATCACGGTCCATAAGGTGAAGCTCGGACTTCTCCACCTTCTCCAGAGTCTACAGAGAGTTCCAGAAATTAGAAGACCAAGTTAGAGTGTTTTTATTTAAGTATTAAAGTTAAATAAATTAAAATATCCAGATACAAAACAGTAGGGAAAAACACCACCTAAAGTTTTAGGACTTCTTTTAAAACATAGGAAATACTCGGCCGGGTGCGGTGGTTCACGCTTGTAATCCCAGCACTTTGGAAGGCCGAGGAGGGTGGATCACGAAGTCAGGAGATGGAGACCACGGTGAAACTCTGTCTCTACTAAAAATACAAAAAATTGGCCAGGCCTGGTGGCGGGTGCCTGGAGTCCCAGCTACTCGGAGAGGCTGAGGCAGGAGAATGGCGTGAACCTGTGAGGCGGAGCTTGCAGTGAGCCGAGATTGCGCCACTGCACTCCAGCCTGGGCGACAGAGCAAGACTCCATCTCAAAAAAAATAAAAAGGAAATACTCTACTTCAACAGTAACTGTTATATTATCAGCACCAAGATACTGAACTATAATAATTCTCCATAAATACTACATCTTTGAAAACAGGTATTGGCCAGGCGCGGTGGCTCAAGCCTGTAATCCCAGAACTTTGGGAGGCCGAGTTGGGCGGATCACGAGGTCAGGAGATCGAGACCATCCTGGCTAACACGGTGAAACCCCGTCTCTACTAAAAAATACAAAAAACTAGCCGGGTGAGGTGGCGGGCACCTGTAGTCCCAGCTACTAGGGAGGCTGAGGCAGGAGAATGGCGTAAATCCGGGAGGCAGAGCTTGCAGTGAGCTGAGATCTGGCCACTGCACTCCAGCCTGGGCGACAGAGCGAGACTCCGTCTCAAAAAAAAAAAAAAAAAAAAAGAAAACAGGTATAAACTACGCTTTGCTGCCTCATATAAAACATAACACAAGTTTTTACAAATGATTTTAAAGTATGTTTATTTAGACATAAGTCATACCTGCTTAACATGGTCAATGTCGCCCTTCTCAGCATATGCATTCAATAATGCGAGGTATGTGTCTGGACCAGGCTCAATTCCAGCCTCTCTCATCACTGTGAGAATGTTTTCTGCATTCTCCATATCACTACAAGTTAATCCAAAAAACAGATTACCATGCTCTTGCCAAATGTAATATAGTTATTCAAACTAAAACATACGCTTATTAAAATCAAAAATGCTAAGTATCATTTGGAATTATGATGTCAGAAAACAAATGTATATTAAACTGGATATATGTTTCTGAAATAAAGATCATAAACATCTGATCCCTCATTAAGAAAAATAATAATTACGCAGACATTAAATAACGTATACCCTCTTACATTATGTAGGTTATGACTCAGACTTAACTTACAAGGTAAGAATAACATTTAGTAAACTACTCTTCAAAAATAAAAATATTTTCCAGAGCAGTTACTTCAGATCAAGCCCAGTTTCTTTTTTCTTTTCTTTTCTTTTTTTTTTGAGATGGAGTCTTGCTCTGTCTCCCAGGCTGGAGTGCAATGGCGCGATCTCGGCCCACTGCAATCTCTGCCTCCTGGGTTCAAACAATTCTCCTGCCTCAGAATCCCGAGTAGCTGGGATCACAGGCACCTGCCATCATGCCCAGCTAATTTTTATATTTTTGTAGAGACCAGGTTTCACCATGTTGGCCAGGCTGGTCTTGAACTCCTGACATCAGGTGATCTGCCCACCTCAGCCTCCCCAAAGTGCTGGGATTACAGGTGTGAGCCACCGCGCCCGGCCTATAGCCCAATTTCTAAAAATTCAAATAAAAGATTTGTGGAATAAATGTAAAAGCACGTTATAAAAATATTAGTATGCTCTACCTCATATACTACAGATTTTTTTTGAAGGGGTAGACAAACATATTTTAGGAGTAGACAAACATATTTTAGGAACTGTCTACAACAATTTTATCTAATTTAAACCCCACTTAATAAACAAAAAAGGAGTAAAATGACCACTTTAGCATCTCAGCCATCTATCACTTAAGAATCAAAACCTTAGGTTAAACATTACCCAGCTCTGGCATGCCCTGTCACAAGGGCACTGAATACTGCCTCTGTAACTGGGAGATCCTTAGTTTTCATAAATCCAAGAATCTTGCTGCAAAGGAAAAACGAAGATACTCATTGAAAGTATTTATCAAGAAAACTCTTTACGACATGTATAGAATTAGGTTAGGCCTTGAGTTACTTTTGTTTTTAAAATATAATAGTAACACACACTTGTTTTAGAAACCACCAAGAAAGAACTGATCCCTTTGATCCCCTTTCCACAAAACCCCACTCTTTAAAGTATCAATAGTCTTGAAGTACTCTTGATACAAATACTAGATTTTTAAAAATCTGATTTGTCTTACACTACTAATTACCTTTGTAAAAGCATAGTTTAGTAAGATTCATTTAGATAAAAATGAAATTATGTATTCCAATTTATCCCTTATTTTCCAAACCTTCCATTCATAAGTAGTAATAAATTTTATATAAGCAGAGAAATGGTGCAACTGATTTTCCATTAGTCAGTGGACTAAAGAGACTATTCCCAGTTTTATAAATGAATACAGCTTAAATAGCTAAGAACATTTCCCTTAGGAAATATTTAAAAAAAAAAAAAAAAAAAAGCTTTATAGCTCAACAACTTTATACCTCTCTCTAGTAAATCAAATTTTTAATTAAAACAGCAACTTTTACTTATCTGTTCTCTCTTATGCAATAATTTTATATTTTATGTAAGTCAGATTACCAGATTTGCTAGATTAAAACAGTTCTGAAACAATTTCCTTCATTAGGAAGAAGCTTTAAAACAAAGAGTGAACAGACATTTAGAGTTACAAAATGTACAAATTTGTTCACTTAAATATGTTCATACAGATCCATACCTGGCACCTTCAATATCTCCCATATTACAGTAAGAAGCAATCAATCTCTGGTATGTCACCTGTCAATGAAAATGGGCCAGTTAATTTTACATATACTTTTTTTTCTGAGTAAAGAAAAAAAATGGTGGATGTGAAAATATATATTCACAATAGCAACTACTTACTCGATTTGGTTGAATGTTCGCTTCCTCCATTTTTGCCAGGAAATCAGTTGGTGAGAATTTATATTCATTTTGAAGATAGACTTTAAGTAAAGCATTATAGTGACTCACGTCATACACAGCACCTACAAATGAAATTTAAAATCAATGTTTAGAAAAGTTTTGAAAATCCTATGCTTTAAAGTGGAACTAAATTTAACAAACAAAAAGAGTAAAACTATCACTTCAGCATTTCACCCATCCATCTTTGCACTCAGACCTATCTACACAGATACTCTGTCACACAGAGCAAACTAAGCATGTAAGACAGTAATTACTGAATTATTGTATAGTCACAAGTAACTGCCTATTCAGATATTAAAAGGCCTCTTACTTAAGAAGTACAAAATTATCTTCCTGTTAGAAAACGCTGACAACACCCCTATATTTAAAAGTGACTATAAGATTTTTCTATATAAAGCAGTCCTCACATTACAGACACACTGTGATGAACGGATTGTAACTTCAGTTCTTTCACACAGTAGGACTGTGCTGGCAATTCTGCCACTCAAAGCCTTCATTTGAAGGGTGCATTCCATTTTCAGCTAATGAACATGATCCATGGTCTGCTCTTGTTAATGATCGGTATTCCAATGCCCTTTGTTTTCTTTGTATCCCTACTATTTAGGGCCACATCAAATAATGTTACCACACATCCTTACTCTACTCAGTCATGACATCACAGTCCTTATATCAATTTTGTGGTAACATGACTCACTATATTTTCATGAATTAAATTTCACATCTTTATTCTACTGCCTGTGACCATACAGGCCTACAGTCAGTATTTAGGGGTCAGATTATGAGATTTTAGGCAGCAGAGACCTGTTCCATTAAATACATACACATTTTTATCTTAACAGATACGTTTCGTTCATATTTACTATGTTTCAGGCACTATGCTAAGTGTTCTACATATAGTGGCTCACTTAAACTTCACAACAACTTTGAGACACTACTATCACCCCCATCTTACAGATAGCTTAGATCTGTCAACAGCTCATTCTGTAATTTTGGACAAGTTACTTAAACTAAAATATCTCTTGTATCTTTATAAATCTGTAAACAAGAGTCAAACTTGCGAAGTACAAGGTTTCTGGCAATATTAATTCAACAAGTATGTATCAAATGCCATTATACACAAAGCATCATGCTACTGGCAAAGCAGGAAAATAAAGAAGCTATGGATTTAATCCTCATAAAGCATACACTTATATAGGAGAGACCTATTTGTAAATAATTTTAAAATAATAACACATTGTCAATCTTTCTATGGAGGTATCAATATGATTACTGCTGTGTAATGCTTTTTTCTATTTTAGAATGTAACCTTTTCTGCATACATTTCTCCCAGTTCAATGACTTACTGACATACAGGAATTTCTAATTTTTAGAGATTGAATACTTTAGCTTTACTTTTCTGCTCCTTTTATACTTATAAAATCCTTTTCCATTCTGAAATTCAACATTTATTTATATATTTTTTAACTTAAAAAAAAATCAACTTATCAAAATGTATTCTAGATGTATTCAAAACTGTGAAGGAAGAATCTGTCTTTATCCTATAGTTTTTTCACATAGGTCCTACACACTTTTTGAAGGACAGTTGTAAATATTTTATTTATTTGTGGCCATACTTTCTTGGATTGTTGTATCCATTTTCTTTTATAACTAGAAGAGGTATGGATTCTTAAACATTTAGTAAGTCAGCTAATTACTGTGAGTTGATTTTCTGGGATTTTACAGATTAAACAATCACATCATCTAAAAATGATAATTTCTTGTACTGTTTCACATCTTATTTCATTGCATTATACATGATTGTTGTTGGTTTTAGATTTTTAACACATTAAAGAAGCATCCTTCTATATGTTAAGATTTTTTAAAATCAGGAATGAACATTAAATTTTATTAAACGATCTTTTTTCAAATTATTTTTTGAATATGTACTACATTACATGACTTAAAATTGAAAAGGTATAAAAAGGTAGAGTAAAACCTGTATCCAGTGTTCATCATCCTTCCAGAAATATTTTAATACTATATACACATGCACATGTATAAACATTTTTCTTCAAAATACTATCATTCTATACATTCTGGTCTACACCTTAATTTTTATTTATACTCTGGAGAACACTCCCATTGGTATATAAAGAGCTTCTTCATTTCTTAAAACAGTTACACAGTAATCTATTTTATGGGTACTCCACAATTTATTTACCTAATCCCCTAGAGAGGAATATTTGAATCGGTTCCAATTTCTTACTACTACAAACAAGCTACAATGAAGAATATCCTTTTGCATCTATGAGTATATCTGTATCTAAATTCAAATGGAAATGCTTGGTAAAATGGTATGTGCATTTATAACTTTGACAGACAAACTGGCTATTTTGTTCTTTTTATTTTTTAACTTACCATACTTGTAACACTTGTTATGAAAAATTATTTATTGTTAATGCCCCTAGATGTCACTATACCTCACCAAATAAATATTACCAAAAAATTATGAATCAAGTAGCCCTTCCATAAAACTGAATTATACCATTTATGTAAACAAACATTTTTTTGCAAAAAGAAAAAATATTTACACCTTTTATACACATCATATATTTAAACAATCATACCTAATTTCTGAAGTTTGTCCCATATCCTATGAGCAAATTCTGTTCTCTCTTCAAGCTTTAGTTCAGGCAATAGAGAACCACAGCTACGTAGTAGGAGCAAGGCATGACTACTACCTGGGCCACCTGTGGAAAAAAGGTTAATGGATAACATTTAACATAGTAGCAATATCATATAGATAAATACCAAAATTTACACAGAAATCTATAAGCATTCAAAAATCTCCTGGCTCAAATTGAGAGTGTCCATAAATTAGAAAAATCCTATCCTAATGTACAATGTTACTAAGTTACAAGTCAAACTTTTAATATTAGTCTGCTTTCTTAAGAAATCTAAGTTATAAAATCTATATAATCTGCAAGACTGTATCAAACACAAAAATACAAAGAATCTAATTTATAGGCAGTGCTTGCTACAATTCAAAGGCTAAACTTCTCAGTATCTTATGAAAATAGTATAAAGGGCCAGGCGCAAATCCCAGCACTTTGGGAGGCTGAGGCGGGCAGATCACCTGAAGTCGGGAGTTTGAGACCAGCCTGATGAACATGGAGAAACCCCATCTCTACTAGAAACATAAAATTAACTGGGCGAGATGGCACATGCCTGTAATCCTAGCTACTCGGGAGGCTGAGGCAGGAGAACTCTTGAACCCGTGAGGCGGAGGCTGCATTGAGCCGAGACTGAGTCATTGCACTCCAGCCTGGGCAATAAGAGCAAGACTTCATTTCAAAAAAGAAAAAAAGAAAGAAAGAAAATACTGTAAAGCAGTGTAATTATCATCCATGAATAGAAAAGTTAGGTTCATAATCAGCTACAATATAAGCTTCCCTCTCCCTACATCTGTAAGCTTTATCTACATATCTCTGAAAGCTGACTTTAAAACAAAGCAAAAATAAACCACTTAGTGTGATTCCATTTATACAAAATATCTAGAGTAGTGCAAACCTACAGGGACAGAAAACAACTAGTGGTTGCCTAGGGCTGGAAGGGATGAGGAGTTGGGGAATTTCTTTTTGGGGTGATGAAAATGTTCCAAAATTTATTGTAGTGATGGATAAATAAATAAGTTAGAGAGAGAATGTGACACAGGTTCTTTAAATATACGTAACAATAGTAATAATTGATACTTCTTTGGTATCTCTCACCATCAGATTCTATATCTATGCTTCTAAGTGTGTCTGAAACCCATGAATAGGCTTTAAGAAGCTACTGAATCCTCTTAAACTGCATGCAAAATTATGCATATGTTTGCATGAGGTTTTTGGGGGTCGGGGACAGGGAGTGAAGGACCTATAGCTTGCATCAGGCATTAGTGACCCAAACAGATTTTTAGTAGCTAATTGAAAATGCAAGGAAAATAATGGAAATCTGTCATATGTGATCATCTTACAGAAACCTGACACTCTACAATGGAAGGTAAGAAAAACTAGTATCTTCCAAGAAACTTACTACTAAAAGTGACTCCATAAACTAGGAAAAGCAAAAAGGCAATTTTTATTTTCTGATTTGGAATAAATATCTAGACCAGGCATGGTGGCCCATGCCTGTAATCCCAGCACTTTGGGAGGCCAAGGCAGGTAGATCACGAGATCAGGAGTGCAAGACCAGCCTGGCCAACATGGTGAAACCCCGTCCCTATTAAAAAATACAAAAATTAGCTGGGCGTAG